GCACCATATTGTGTAGATGCAGCAGGGGGCAGTATTGGACCAATGCAAGGCTCCATTGACTGTCATTATAATTTATTAAACATTAATATTTCAAAAACAATAAATTTTACAGGCACCAAAAGGCATAGCCATCATTTGGCACAGGAGCTTTACAGATATAAATTACAATGGCAGCTCTAGGACAAAGTATGCAGGAGGAGAAGCATGGCAAAGTTGAGATGACTTGGATGGGAAAAGAATCACAATAGTGTGCATTGCATTGGCAATGCACACTGATGAGAAAATAAAACATAAGGGTACACAGTGGTGGGCACAGTTCCCCTAAAGCACTAAAGCACCAAAAGGGGAACTAATTTCCTGATTAGTGCTTTAGGGCTTTTTCCAATTTTAAAATTTATTAGTGGATTAGCACTTGCTAATTTTATAGACTAAATTTAGAAGCACTAACTGAGGTCTATAAATGTTATTGATCAATGTTAATATTAATAGCTGAGGGTGAAAACTGTCACACATTTTGTTCATATGTGTGTCACTTATCCACTAGGTGACAATATAAGAACTCAAATACAGCTGTGGAATGTCAATGATAGTCTAAAGAGAGCAATATGTGACTCATGTTGTCTGTTGAAGAATGTTCCATGGATCAACTGGGTTATTTTAGTGCTTTAGACTTAGCTTTTGCTAAAACTTTCAGTGTGTTAGTGCTTTAGAATTAGGGGACCTAAATATTCGAGTTAGTGTTTTAGGGATAGTGGAACTAATTTTTAGATTAGTGCTGCCCACCACAAATAATGAAACAGCCTGAAAATTTTAATAAAAAGAACCATAAAACAAGAATCATGACAAGCGAGCCATCACAGCTCATTTTAAACACCTGTAATTCAGCCATTTTAAGACTTGTTGAGCTGAAATGTTTTGTGATGTAGCCAAGAATGATTGCTAGTCCCAACTTAAGCTAACCGCTAAAGCAAATTTGACAAAGCACTATAATTCAGCCATTAAATACACAACGAGAGCCGAGAACACTCTTTAACAATATCTGAATGGAAATACAAGATCTAAGATGGCCACCAAAGCTAATTTCAAATAGTTATAACAGCCAGTTGAGGTGGTTCATCTGGCTGAACACCTCCCTGGTGAGGTGTTCTGGGCACGTCCCACTGGGAGGAGGCCCAGAGCAAGACCCAGGACACACTGGAGGGACTGTGTTTCTCGGCTGGCCTGGGAACACCTTGGGATTCCCCTGGATGAGCTGGTTCAAGTGGCTGAGGAGAGGGAAGTCTGGGTCTCTCTGCTTAGGCTGCTGCCCCCGAGACCTGACCCTGGATAAGTGGAAGAAAATGAAGATGAAGATAAAGCCATTTTTTGAAACATTGGGCCTCATGCAAGAACCGTTCGTATGCACAGATTTGTTCTTAAGTTGTGCGTACGAGTGATTTAGGAGAATTTGTGGCATTCACCAATGTTTTCGTTTTCTAAGATTTTTTTCAGATACGAACAAAATTCACGAGTGGTCCAGACCTGTCGTATATTTTACGAGGAGTCAGTCTGCTGTTATCCAGACTGATTTTCTTCATTAATAACTTTATATTTAATTAGTTTGAAGATATTTTGAGTTGAAAAGAAATCACACTCTATAATTATGTTGACAAAAGGTCATTCTGTTTGAATTAGAGTTATAATTTTAAATGGAATAATGTAGACTAACGACATAAAATGATTAAATGAAATTACATTGGCTATTAATGCTGTTGTATAACACTACAATATTTAAATGAAGTTTACTGAAGTTTGGAGACATTTTAAAATGCTTTTTTTTCAGAAACGCATCCAACACTTGTGGCGGGGGGTGGGGGCGGGGGTAGCGGTGCGCGACTGCTCTTCTTCTGAATAAATGAAAACAGTAACACAGTTGTTTACACTTAAATTAATTTGACCAAAGGAAAACCGGAGTAGGACTAGAGAGAGATGAATATGATTTAGATTTTTATTTCTGTGACTGTATACAACCCACAGAAGACACGACATTAAGAGCACAGTTCATTCCTTTAAGCAGCTCCTTTAATTTCACAGCTTACACTGCTAAAAATGACAGATTTTCTTTTCTGTATCTCTGACAGACGGACTTCAATCTCCGAACTCATAAAGTTCTTCTTTTTACTTTTCGCTGTCATTTTCATGTATGGACTCTTCCTGATATCTGAGGCAGGAAACATAGCCTTATATGGTGTTTTTGGGGTGGTAATTATGCTAATCACCTCTCAGCGTGCACGAGCAGCTGGACACGAACAGGTGGAATTCATCATGTTTACGCAGCTCATTTACACACTTTTCCTGAAGATAGAAGAGTTTGTTGAATCTGACGTGACATGTTTGTACGAACCCTTTGTACGAACAAAAATAAGAGAAATTTAGGATCAGAATATGAACATGTTTTTGCATGAGGCCCAATGAGCTCATATTTTGACTGGTGGTAGCTACGAGCAAAATTACATTTTGAAATCTCAATTTTCAGCTAAGGGCTAATGCTAATTTGCAAAAGAGATATATTTCAGTTAATTTTAGACACTTAAAGTTAAAGATTGGTACAATAGCAGCCAAAAATAAAACTTCAACTAAATCTGTATGCAAATAAAAAAATCAAGAAGGCCACCACAGCTAATTTCAAAGACTATAATTCAGATATTTTACCACTAGCTAAAAATTGGTGTATTGATGCCTGAAAGCAATTCCTAATAGACTGAGTTCAAATCAAAACTCCAAAAAGACCATCTAAGCAGAAAAGGTAAAATATTATAACTTCATATATTTTTTCAAGATGTTAAGCTGAAATTTAGTGTGGTGGTATTTGAGCACAACGCCCAACAGATTCTTAATTCTAATTGAAAAATCCAAAATGGCCACCAAAATTAAATTCAATAAAACTGCAAAGCAGTTATGACCATGTCCAAGTCCGTTTATGTATGTCAACTTTGGCTCATGTCGTTTCCAGCATCCTGTCAACTTTGTGTGCACAGAACTGTTGCATGATGGGGAGTTTTTATAAGGTCTGTTTGAGGGCCAGTTTGCTAGAGCATCTGCTGAGCTCATCGGTGTGCCTATAAGTGGTTCTCATCAGTTTAGTTTCAACTAAATGTGTCTCCATTTTTGGTTCCAATGTGCTTTTGGATCCAACTCAGGGGTGTCCTGATGCATCTCAGTAATCCAGGTAAAAAATCAAAAAGAAAAAATTGTATAGGTCTTCTGGACGGGTTCTTCTCTAATGAAACGTTTTGTCTCTTCTCCAAGAGACTTTTTCAGTCTGAGAGTTTCAGGCAAAATTCAGGCTTTTAAGCCCTGCTTCCATGTGACTGATACTCACATCACATGGCTATTGTTGACACCTAATTAATACTTATTGTTAACAGGGGGTGGAGTGATACTGGCAATGGCCGCGCTGTAGGAGGGGGACAACTGAAAACGGAGGCCTCCACCTCTGTTTAATGACGGACGGTCTTTCTTCACAAAAATGGCTTCTTTTACTCCTCTCTCAAGCCAACGTTCCTCTCTATCAAGAATGAGAACATCCTCATCTCTGAAAGAGTGTCCGCTGGCCTGTAAATGAGGCCAGCGGTCACTCTTTCAGAGATGAGGATGTCTGTATTGACGATTAAATCCTTTAATATGAGACCTTAGCTGTATTTATTTATCATGAATCTCTGCACCGATCATATTTAAATATTGTGTTTTAGTTTTATATCAGATTAGCTCTGTAATGTTGTGCCTTCAACTGGGTCAGCCATCATGAGTAACACTGTGTATGTGTAAGCTTGTGTGGGCATGTTTAACAAGCTAATGAGACCTTTGCTTTTTTATAGCTGAAACTATGGAAAAGAAAGCTAAAATACATTTAAAAATGTGATAATTCAAGTCAGCTTCTTCCCACAGCCCAATAACATACATGCATATTCAAACTTTAGGAGTGAGTTACAGGGTGAATGGTTGTCTGTCTTGTTAGTCTCTAAGTGGCTTTGTGATGGACTTGCAACCTGTCTCGGGTGCCCTCTGCCTCTTGTGCAATGAAAATAGGCACTAGCTCCTTGCAACCCAGAAAATTAAAGTGGGTAGAGAAAATGGATTGATGGATGGACTGACAGATGGATGGATAATTGATTGTTTTCATTTGCTGATTGTGTGATGTTGTTGTGTCTTGTTTGTCTGCCGACTAGATCAGTGAGTGCCGATGCTGCATCTGATGATTTCAAAACCAACATCACACTGTTCACACGCATCCTGGACAGACTGCTGGATGGGTACGACAATCGTCTACGGCCTGGTCTTGGAGGTGAGGAAATATGTCATTTCCAAATGTGCACATGTCCAGGTGCTATTTGTACAGCTTCATACAACATGTACTTGCTGTTATGAAACTGCACGTGTCTCCTTTTAACGGCTGACAGCTCATTTTTAAGAGAACACTTCATTTAACAGCGTTCATAGTAACGGTACCCTTTGGCAGCAATCCCCTGAAGAATAGACTCATAAACATTCTCGGTGTGTGAAACTGAGATTATGTAACATTCAGTCCACTTCCTGGGAAGTAACAGTGAACAAAGTGACAATATCAAACCCCACAAATGCTGGGTATTTTTGGTAGCAAACTCTGCAGAATGTGATCGGGAGGAAAAGACACTGTGTCAGACTTTGTGATTCAGTTTGTACTTTATGATCGTAAAGCTATATAAGGGAAAAAAGGCTGATGTTTTTTCAAAGAGATATTACATATTTTCAGTGGTGGGCACCAGTCCGCTAGAGCGCAAATCCGTAATTGCGGACCTAAATATTTTGTTTGCGCTTTAGCGGTCTTACTTATTTTTATAATTCATAAGTGAATTTGCGCTTTGTAAAATTAAATGCAGTACTGCTAATTACTAATTATCTACCAGTCATCATTATCTTGAACAGTTGAAGGTATGGCTGTCAATGAATCACAACACATGTGATCTATCCAGCAGCACCCCTCCCAGATAAACACACTTATTGAGAAGGTATACATCCTTGCTGACTGTTGCTCTTGGTCACGGTTCTCATTTCCCACAATGATTTGTGTCTGCTTACGTAGCAGGAAGGCAATGTTAAGAACTCCCTGTCCCAGTAAAAACACTAAACGTTTGTAATCCATACTAAAATTTTATATGTATTGATTTATTTTACTTTACAATTGGAGCTCCTTTTTAAATAAAAAAGTTTAAACGCTGGAGCTCAATACTTGACGTAATTGGTCGAAGCAATCCGCCAACGGGGTTAGACAGACATCTAGTGGTCAACTGGAGCAACTACAAGGAAAACTTTCATTTCCCGTCACAAATCAAATCCGTCATGTACCCAGAATGCATCGCTTCAGTTTTCCAATAAACAGTTTTAAAATTGCTTTATTGATGCTTCTTTAATGAAAAATCTACAACAAACAAAAGAAAAAGACAAAGAAGCAGCCAAGCTAGCAATCCTCAACAATTTTTTTAATTTTTACACCAGGAGCCCAAGGTCTGTTTCATGAAATCACATCCCCAGCAATCGGCACTTATAAGATTAAACTGTACAAGGATTCATACACCGCTAGTTGGCAGTGTTGTACTTATATTGTACATGAATTGTTGCCAGTTAGTAAGTGTCAAATTGAACTTGTGTTTTAAAATTAGCTTCTGCTAGTTTTTCTATGGCATAAGCCTTTTTGAAGTTGCGGACTTAAAACTATTCATAAGCGCTTTAGAAATTGCGGAGCTAATTTTTGTGCTAGCGCTGCCCACCACTGCATATTTTTAAAATCGTTTTATAGCAATGTGTTATACTCAGATTGGTAAATTTGCCAACTTAAAAATTTGAGTATTATTTTACATCTGTATAACACAATATGATGTGATCCTTTGAGTATCCTGTAGTCCATTGGTTTCTCAGATTGTCTGAAGTATAACATTTCAATCTATGCAAACACAAAGGACTACATAAGCCCTACAGAAGGCATCATTTTGCTTTTCAGTACTGTAAACAAGGGTCTCCTGTGCACATAAGAGCTTTTCTGTTCTACCTCACTACTCCCATCACTTGCGTACTTGGCATCGCATTTCCAGCTGGCCCCTCACCCCAGAGCTGAGCTCCTCCCTCAGGATTTGGTGCATTTTAAATTTCAAACTCTTTAGGCCATCAGCCCAGAGCTAAAGCTGTCATGTGGAATAGAGTCCCTTCTCAAGCTCAGCCTGTTGAACTGGATGTACGATAAAGCAGCAAATTTATTAAATCCTGTATTTGTGCATCCCTCAGCAATCAGCAGCTTCATCTTATTTTCTTTGGGAATTATGAAGGGTCTAGTTGAATGCTGGTAAGATTTGGCGTAAAAATCACTGGAAACAGTGACATTTGTCTTTAAATGGATCCCCAATTAGTTGTAACATTAGACTTTATTTGATAAACATATATTTTAACTATAAAATAAACACTGTAAAAATACTGTGGGCTGTTTAGTTTTGTAAATTTTTTAAAATATATTTTAATATGGACGGAGCCATTTTATTTACACACAAAGCATTCTGGGTAAATGATGACSTGGATAGGTCCTCGGTGCGAGGCTGCTAGCGAGCTATATCCACCCTGAAGGTTAATCTTGGATAAAATCTGATGATGACTCTTTTAAATGAAACCAGAGAGCGTTGACAGAGAGGAGAAGGTAGAAATGACTCAGCCTGGAACTGAAAATATGGATGGAGGACAACAGAGCTGCTTCATGGAAGAAGAACCTCAGCTTAGCCTGTTAGCCTCGCGTTAGCACTGACACTATATTGCCTTACATGTATTAGCTTGGTGCTAGTGTGACAAACAAGCTAAACTGAGGTCCTCCATCCATATTTTCAGTTGCAGGCTGAGACATTTTTGTGTTCCCCTCTCTGTCATGTGGATGGAGGACCTCAGTGACGAGAGGAGAATGTGTAGCTCTGAGCTAATACATATATATGGTGAGAGCATCGGGGCTACAGCCAGAGTGCTACAGCCAGCATGCAGTCAGTTTTTAGAATAAATAATTAGTTTTTCTTTGAAAATTATTGCATTAGTTTTTTATGTTTGCGTATTTTGAAGTTTGCAAAATTTTCTAACTTGAAGTCAATTTTATGAACGCAGCATTTTTAATTTGCACAATTTTATTTTATTTTATTATTTTTTGCAGTGCTTGCACCTGTCTGCCACCATAGAATTACTTATTTGATTGAAATAGATTTGTTTTGCTTGGTTGATTTGCTTTTTTTGGTCTCCTTTTTACCACACTCCCAATTCTCTTGGGGAGACAACGGTTTTGTGACCCTCTATTACTTGTAGCCACGTTGTTCTAGGTGCCTCTTATTCATTAACTCTCCATTTTCATGAATAGTTGACCCCAAGTACTTCGCTAATGTAATTATTGCTAGTCAAAACTTATTTTTAGATATCTAGAATTTAATTACAGATAGTTAGACAAAGCCAATTGCATGGCAAAATGTCTTGCCATAGCACTGTTGCCTTCACTTTGTAGTCCAGCTCTCTGTTACACACTGACTGAGCACAAGGTTATGTCATCTTAAATCTGTGAGCTACAAGAATGAACTATAATCTTAATCTAGAGCAGGACACAAGTGGGTTTCCTGCTGGTTCCCCAGTTTCCTTTTGCAGATCAAAAACATGCATGTTAGGTTAAAAAGTAAATCTAAACTGTCACATGTCGTGAGTGACAGGGTACGGTTATTTGTCTCATTTGTCTCTATATGTCCCTGTGATGGACTGGAGACCTGTTCAGGTCTGCTGGAGACAGGTACCAGCTCTTTGTGACCTATAAAGGAAAGAGGGTAAAAGAAAATGTATAGATGGATATAAGACTTTTCATTTAAGAGCTCAAAAAATAACCTTCTTGTTCTTATCCTCCGTGCATCATACTTGAAATACCTCCTGCTCTGCAAAAGTAACTAACTTTTACTTAAAGTAAATTTTTAATGATTTACTTTTATTTGAGTAGATTTTTACACAGGAACTTTTACTTGTACTTGAGTAAAATTACTTGGCCATATTATTTTAGTACTTTTTCCACCTCTGCTGGAAAGTGCTTAAGGTTCTGCCAAAAGGGTGGCCATTTCAATAAATGGGTTTAGGGCACTAAAGCATTTGTTTAAGTTAAGAGGGTTTAGTATAGTAGCAATTAAGAAAAACTGTAACAGACTACAAACGAAAAGCTGTCATGGCTGCAAAAACTAGAAAACCAACAACAACAACAACAAAAAACTTACAATGAGCCAAAAACAGATAATCAAACAAACTTATGAGCCAGACAGGATCACAATGCCAGCTTGATAAGAAGGAACAAAATCGAAGTATCAAAAAGACAGGACTCATCATCAGGCAAATATGCAAACACCTGCGCACAAAAGCAGAGCAGGGGCAGGAGGGTGTAGCAGAAACAGGATACAAGCTGAACCGACTGATCAGAAAAACGTAGAACAGAACCAATTACAGAATAAATGACTAAACAAAAGACAAAGATCTTGACATAAACCTAATGACATTTTTGCACAACACCATTGCGTGTTTAGTTTAGTGGTGTTTTCTCAACCAACCATGTATGTTACTGGACAAATGTATGTTGAGCATAGTCTGCTAACTATTTAAGACTATAGACACACTGCTCAGACAAACATATGTTCAGCTGCTCGGCATCAACATATGGTCTATGCTAAGCACGCATGTAACGCCGCAATATGCAATAATGTAATAAAATTGGGCTTCTAAATGTAATAAACCAGCACTAGAACTGGATTATGTAATAATTGACACAAAATGTAATAGTCTTCAACACTTTTTGTAAAACTGGCAGCCGCATTATGTAATAATGTTATTACATTTTGTAGCGATTGTTACAAAATGCAGTGGTTGTTCTTTCTAAGAATGATAATGTAATATTGTGATGCATTAAGTAATAAACAATCGCAAACCAGTGTTTGTGTTCATTTTAATCAATATACGTGTAATAAAGATAAACATTTAAATCTTTGAAACTTTGGTCAATAAATAGAAAACGTGCCTGAGTATTCACATCCAGATTCCTTTATTAGCCAACAGAGGAGCGCGATGAGCATGGTGCAGAAATACAGAGCATCTGTCTCACCCGAGGACCAACTCGCACAATGCACACACACACACACACACACACACACACACACACACACA